AAAGCATATCCAAAATACAATAGTTTCAAAAAACAAGATGGCTGCCAGTCAGCCATTTTGAATCAAATCGCTAAACCACTGCATGTGCATATGTCCCACATAAGGTACTAGGCACATGCAAAGAATGAACGGGATCGTTCCACAGGATTCTGAAATATGACGTTGGACAGACTGACAGACGAACGGACAGACTCAGGAACTCACGAATGGTGGGGCCATGTATCCTAACATGTATGATCGATGTACTAAATTTGAATGAAAACTGACAAAGCATGTCCAAAATACGACATTTTCAAAAAACAAGATGGCTGCCAGTCGGCCATCTTTGATCCAATTGTGAAATAAATCGTCATGGACATGTATCCTAACATGTATAATCTATGTACCAAGTTTGAATAAAAACTGACAAAGCATGTCCAAAAGATGACATTTTCAAAAAACAAGATGGCTGCCAGTCGTCCATTTTGAATCAAATCGCTAAACCACTGCATGTGCATATGTCCCACATAAAGTACTAGGCACATGTAAAGAATGAACGGAAGGGGATTCTGAGAGATGACTCTGGAGGGACGCACGGACGGAGACCGAATTATAAGTCCCCGTTTTCGGACTTCGTCCGAACGGGGACTAATAATATGAACACATTTGAGTCGGTAAAAAATGAATATGAATGCAATGCTAAGCTGAGCAGAGATCAAAGGATGCCGCTCATCACAGTGATCACATTTTCTTTTGTGTCTGCACAGATCAAAAGAACTATCGCCACTGTAAACGAAGGATTTCCAAGACTGATGAGCCATGATGAATGGAAACAATAAAAGATGTTTCACATATCTAAAAAGTCTTTGGATCAGGAATATTACCCTAATGACTGATAGCAACAGAGATGAAGCAACATGTGTGCCTGTTGTTTTTTGTATGCGATTATCAACATGCTTTGGGAGAACAAAATCATAGCATGTGATAGAATCATGTATATTAACAATTATTATATATTCATCTATTTTTAATCATAGTACATGTTGATACATTATACAGGTCAAAATAAAAAATACTTTGCAATATAAAACAATACACATTAATTATTCACATTGTCTTTTTGCTAACGAATAAAATTAAAATCGAATAAAAATATAAAAAAATGCAAAATAATTATTCACATTTTCTTCTTGCTAACGAGTAAAATTAAAACCGAATGAAAATATAACAAAATGCAAAATAATTATTCACATTTTTTTTGGCTAACGAGTAAAATTAAAACTGAATGAAAATATAAAAAAATGCAAAATTATTTTGTAATAATTACTATCAAATAATATCGATACATCCAAAATAGTAATTGAAATAGTAAAATTAAAACATTATCATTATTTTGTTGATGACCATTTTTTTTTCATATTCCACTAAAAGCACAGCAAGCTACCATTAATATTGTTGACATATTAAAACTTTTTTATGATTTAAAAACTGACTGAATGAAACTTTCAATAATTTAAATTCAGAACACCATATGTGAGTGGAATTACAGGAAATGAAGGTTAGAGAAATACATGTATCTATTTCCTCAAATCACAGAGAATGCAATTCATCCACATGTGACAGATACACATGTAATTATTACAATTGTAACTATACAGCTGATAGAGCTATAGGCAGACTAATTAGCAAATAATTGGTTTTTGTAATCTTCTCTCATGAACATGGTGCAAGTTGATTATTCTCATACAGGACAAGAATTGGTGTGTGCAACCATACGCAATGTACTGCAAAATGTGGCAAAATAATGATCGGCACTTTAAGCATCTTGATAACGATTAATTACTCCAGAACTGTTTTAGCAATGACAAATGCATGATTGTACTAACAACTTATTAGTACAGTAAATCATTTGGATCAGATCATCCTGCAGAATTATTAATTCATATTTTACTAAATTTTGGAGAAAAGTGGGCATTTTACCAAACTCAACAGAATGATTAACAGCCAATTGCTCAGTATTTTGCAATATAAAAACCATCATTTATTATTTTAAGATATAATCATATTTCAAAAGAAATCTGCTGGGACACGAATACGAAACTACGGACATGTAATGGATAATTACGCATGATTGTCAAAATTACTGCAACTTTCCATTTTGTATAAAACCACAGTATTACATGCCTACTGTAAAGTACTATATTTTCACTTGAAATTTATTTTTGTTGAAAGGATTTTTCAGTGGAAATGAAATCCAATATATTTTACATTCAAGTCATTCAAAATTTAGTGAAAATAAATGTAACTTCTGTTACACATTAACAGAACCTAAAAATTAGCTTAACTACAAATCCTGAAACCTACAATTTATTTCTAATGTCAGAAATTGGTTAAATTGAATTTGAAGGGATTAAACGTCTTCATAAGACTGAAGCAAGGGACATTCTTGATTTTTCAACATCACCATTTTCTGTATTTTTCACTGAATTTGATCTTAATTTTGGACTTCGGCATTCAATATGTTAAACATAATCTATTTTTACCATAGACACACTTCTATCATTTGCATAAGTGCACTGGATAGAGCAAATATTTCATATTTCAAAGTCATAAATAAATAAATACAAATATTCCAAACAATGTTCTATCATCAAACTCCATACACACCCTTACAAGTATAGATCACACTCACATATTTTCTATACAGTGTCAGAAGTTTACAGTAGAATAAATGATTTTTATTCAAACTAAATATTACAGATTACTACATCTGAAGAATAATCTAAATGCATGTATAATTACATGTAAATGTCATTGCCAGAAAATTTTTCCCAATTTGAAGACATCCACATGAACTAAAAAAGAATCATGCATAGTCACTACAACTCTTCCTGGCCTGAAATGCACAAAAACTGATCCCTCTTGTAAATTATCGACTGAAAATAGGCTTCAGCATTATACAAAAAAAAAAGATACATGCTTTGAGCAAAAGGATTCATGCCAAATTTCGAGCAATGGAAAAGAAGTAGAGGCAAAAACAAGATCCTTTTTTGTTTACATTTTTATGAACCTAAAAAAACTTCCTAAGACATATGATATTGCAAATAAATATAACACACATATAAAGTCTGTAACACCGTTTTACAGCATACTTAAAACTAAAGACGATGGTTTGAAATAAAAGGTCAGAGAACTGTCATGAACTCTCATGAACATCTGTATATAATCCTGCTGCGTCAAGTAAACACTATATTGCCCATAAAACCATTTTTGCAAACTATTAGCACTACTCAAATAGCAACATTATTACATTAGGTTGATTGAAATTACTACGTTATTGACTTTTTGACACAATGAGCAAAGTATGTAGAGATAATCTATAATGACAAATTCCTGCTACGGATACAGAACAGACAATCTGATTAATCCAAACTAGCCACCTCCGGTAACTATCAACAATATCATTTGGGGACAACTTTCACAAATGTGACATAACATTAACCATCAGAAACTCAACTGCCAATCATCATACTGTAAAGTCTCAACATTTTTACTGGTATTTCATTTCTATATTTTGATATTTGATCTTATATTTTAAATTCATAGATTTTTCAGTGAAATAATGAGCTCTGCAGTAACTTTACATGTTCATTTATTCAGTGAATTTCATTTATCAACAAATTTAGTTACATTATCACAATTAATTTACCATCAAACTAACACATGTAACAAACTATAATACTACCGATTAAAATTCAATATTTCATTTTCAATAACTGATCCTAAACATTTAAATGTTGTGTTTAAAAAAAAAAAAACTTTATAGTGGTCATTTTTACCTGAATGACACTGAAGATTATCATTTGTTATTCGCTATCTCCAATCAGTTACTTGTCACATACATAGTTGCATAATAGAATATCAAGAACAATGCAACATATGATAATAAAATCATAAGTTAACATAACAAAACAAATGGGAAATTTGTTTATTATTAAAAAAAGAATAAGTGTTACAATTTAAATCTAATAAACATGGGTTTTAAAAACTATTGACATTATTAGAAATGAATTTAAAGCATTAGCAAATGAGAGTTTTGTTAGAATGCCTGCTGTTGTATATGACACCCTTTTTTTTTACAAGACACACAGTAGCCAGTATTTTGCATGGGGAAACCTGGCTAAATGATCTGACTGGAACTAGACACTTAAATTTCACATTCTATATGACGCACTATAACGTTTTTTTTTTATACACACAGTCTAAATATAGCGATAGTGCAAGGGAGGGAACAAACATCCAGACCCGATAATACCACAACATAATGAGCTTTTTTTTTTCACTGTACAATGGAGGCTGGTTACATGGTATAATCACAGGTTTCAGGTTTTTAAATTGAATGCTATAAATAATAGTGAAATAGAACGTAAATTGATCTTATACAGTGATTCCATATGTAAGGTAAGTGAGTACACATTCCTGGAATTTGGAAACTCTGACCCTAGGTCAGCCACTGACATTGTTAAGACGCAATGATATACTGTCTCAAGCCATACTGTTGTGTGTATACCACGGAATCAACATAAAACATAAAAACAAACACAAAACAGCCTTTAAATGAGAGGAAAAGACAGCACGAGTGTTGACCGGACTTCTTCTAACGTTGTTGGAAAACGCCACCGAGGCCGTATATTGAGAAATTTCTCGAAAAATCTGCTTGGAAACTGTGGCATACGTGTTGAGTAGAAAACATAGGGTTGTCCCTAACTGTATCGCTACACTACATGCATGCACGTTGCTTGACAGTTCCGAGTTTCTCAGTTTTTAGATTGTGTTGCAAAGAGAATCGAAAGTCACTGCGAGTTGACCATACAGCTGTTCATACAAGATAAACCTGTTTCATGGGAAAAACAACTAAACGCAATTTGAGGGAAATCATCCCAAAAGAGTGTTACAAGACACAATATGATTTCTACAAACCGATGAGCCGAAACTGGGGGAACACGATGTGGTGCACCTACCTGCCGTATATCCCTTCTGTGATCTTATTTCGCTTCAGAGGGCGTCTGAGTTTGCCGCAATCGGCATTTCGCCTCTTCATATTCTCTCCCTGTGTATATTTGTGATGAAACTGTGCCAAAATCTGGAAGATCTGTACCGTAAATAAATACACTATGCTTCTAAATCGCCAGTCTGTATTTTGTGTTTTGTCTGCCTTCTTCGTGCCCCTCACGCATGCGTAAATTGGATCACTGCTGTGTGTGTCGTTTACAGCACAACATTTGATTGGTTATTGAAACCTCATGATACGAAAACTTTCACTCGGTCTGTGTTTTTAATTCATGCATATTTATTTTTAATGAGGTGAAAGTGATTACACTGTTTCAATTTACAATATTCAAATTAATTATATTTAGCCTACTAGCGTATATTTTATAATATCCAGTGCAATTTTATTGCTTAGTTTCTCCTCCCGACCAATCAAATCCGTCCTTTTATAAAACAAGAACCCGTAAAATCAAAGCACCGTAATTTGGAATAGTTTCAAATCAAAAGCGCGAATTACATAATTCAGAAATTCTAACTTGAATGAAAACCCCGAAAATATTGTTTTTGTAACATAAAGATTATTTTAAAGTGACTGCAAACTGAAATAGTTTGATGATTGTTTTTGTTTCAACAGTTTGATTTACTAGGTACAGTATTCTAGTTTTACTGATTTTCACGACATTGCAGCAATTTCGCATATTTCGGCTATTGTTGATCACATCCAACGACATGATAATCGATATAAAAGGTATTTTGTTATTGATTTCGAATAATTCACCTTGTTTAAACAACTGTTTAAAGTGCAGCGACTCGTATGTGTCGCAAAACAATAGTCGTAGTTTTACGGCAGCGCGTGTGTTCAAAATGTCCGACAGCGAGGACGCAAACAACGTGGTCCCCGTTTTGAAGAAGACCAAACTATCAGAGAATGGTTTACCAAATGACAATTCTGGTGATGAAAATGTGAGTTAATATGTCGGTGGTTGCTTAGCCAACGCTTTTCTTGTACAAAGCCTCTGATAACGACCATATTCTGGACGGACGAGGTGTTCAATCGCTAATCGCTCACATTGTTTATGTTATTGTGGTGACTCCGTACACTTCGTTATGTACAGTCCCGGCACCGGTCTCGGGTCTTGATGATGCCATTTAACTGTGTGTTATTTTGTTCTTTATAGTCTGAATCATATTTGTTAGATGAAGTCAAATACAGAAATTCTGTGAGTAGGAATATTAGTATTTTATTATTATTTAATAGTAATAATAACTTTATTACCAAAACCATCAGAGGGTTTAGTATGGTAAATAACAAAAGACTAAAAAAAACAACTAAACAGTAAAAAAATCAACAAAAAAAATCATTTCTATCAGTTGTTAACAATAAATATATAGATAAACACAATTTGAACGGCCTTTGCGTCATCAATTTGCGTCATAAGCGCTTATGCCAGAGGGTGTGATGTATAAGAAGATGGATAATCCAGCCTATTTTTATGATTGCTGTTGTAAGTCGTTCACACTGTCTATATGTAGATGTACAAGTGAATTATGCTACATTGTATGTAATCATAGCCAAGAGCAGAATGATGCTTGAAAGGGGAGGGATAGGAGATGTAAAGCATAATGGTGCTAAGAAAAAAGTATGGTTTTACTTGAACATATTCACATACAATAATTCCTGCATCAGGTGCCTGAAGAAATCAACGTTCAAGAACATAAATTATTATTTAGCTTATTTGTGTGTAAGTGATTGTAAGCTTAAAATATAATTTAAAGAAAAAAATGAAAAATAATATTACAATCTTTGGCTCTTGCTGTTTTAATAAATGATAAGAACAATATAGGGATTATCTGCCTACTTACAATTAGACAAAAGACTGTAACAGTGTGATATTCTTTTGTCTTTCTTACCAGGATGTTGGGCCCCTATTGAGTAAGATGTATTATGGGAGTAACCATATTGTAGGGCTTCATTATATAATTAGTGATAGCTTGAGATGTATATTTTTTCTTCAGTAATGTTTTCACATGCATGACCTAACATCATTTTGAATATCCCATTATAATAAAGCGAGATGTTAAAATCACAAGTTTGGAGATAGATCGCAATCTTAGTTCTTATGATGAATGAGAATGATGACGCAAGAATGAAGGCATCACATTTATTGAAACACAAAGAATGATGACATCATCTGCAGTGAAATACAAAGAATATTGATGTCACTCGCACTGAAACACAAGTAATGATGACATCACTTTTACTAAAACATGAAGAATAATGATGTCATTGAAATGAAAAGAATGATGACATGTCCCTTGCACTGAAACACAAAGAATGATGAGATCACTTATAGTGAAACACAAAGAATCATGAGATCACTTGTAGTGAAACACAAAGAATGATGACATCTTCTGCAGTGAAATATAAGGAATGACTTGCACTAAATGGTCACTCCCACCAAAACTCAAAAAATACAAACATCAGTTCATTGTTATCTGGAATCAGTCTTTTTTGTACCATAACCACAGTTTTAAAATAGTATTACATGTAAAAAGAATGATGACATCATTTGCAGTGAAATACAAGAAATGATGATGTCACTTGCACTGAAACACAGAGAATTATGACATCACATAGAATACAGTTCATTGTTATGTATAATTTGTCGTTTTGTTGCATAAACGTGACAGTAAAATAATAATACTTTTTTTTCTGACATCAAAAAAGTGTATGATTTAAGGATATTTACAAAATGTGCACATGAAAGAGTAGATGCATATGTGCCAAAATAATTGCTTGGCATTATACACATTGTTCATTCATTTTCTCACAATAGACCATTTTCCGTTCACTGCGGCATCCCGCGTTATGCGTGAAATCGAACGTAAAAACAAAGGTCATAGCATTGTAGTGGCATCAAACATCGCGTGGGATTCGACAAAAGTATTTTGGCGGATATTTCCATGCAAAATAATGTGCTGTATGCATTTTAAGGTGGTTATTTTCGATGAAGTAAGTGTATCTAAACGCAATATTTCCCTGTCAAAGATCGGCCTTCGAATTTGAGCTATAATAAAAGAAATTCAAAATTAAATCGTTCGATTTTTGCGGCAGACATTCGGTCCGCGTCTTTCACACAATACCAGAGTTCTTGCAGTTGAACGGAAAATCACCCATAGTGAAACCAGACTATGATGCTCCCTTTCACTAGCATGACCAATCACTGTTGATGTCTCATTCTTCATACCCAGGATGCCGAGGAAGCTCAGAGCACTGCCAGTACCTCTACGCTAGATGACAGTGCATCAAGATCTGACACACCAACAACAATTGGCAGGAGGTACCCCAGAGGCAAGTGGAAAAACAAGAAATGCAAACTGCAGTACAAATGTGCAAACTTTGTGAAGGAAGACCACGGTCAGCCTCTGTTCGGTGTACAGTTCAACACACACTGCCAGGAAGGAGATGCCCAGATCTTTGCTACTGTTGGTAGTAGTCGAGTTACGGTCTACGAGATTCAAGACGATGGTGGAATTAAATTATTACAGGGGTATTGTGATCCTGATGTATCCTTATGCATTCTCAGTACTGGTATTACATGTATTATTAATTGAATATGAACTATCATGTATCATCAACCACACTGCCTCGTAAACAGACGAATACTTCATTTGCACTATTGGTAGTGCATGCACTTACGTAAATGACACTCAGACAGAGGTGTGTCCATCAGAAGTACATGTTTAAAGCGAGAAGGTCATCACCTGCACACGTGCGGGAATTGAGTCCCAAGTGGCGATAACAACACAAGCAAAAAATGCAAATGCTCATGGGTAGATGCTTGTTTGTGAACAGTGACACGCTATGGCCACCTGACGCATGCACAGGTTACGACTCCCTCACTTTAAAAGAAGTGCACAGAAACCAAAAATTTCATTTACTGTATACTGGACAATTAAATTAAAAATTATTTTAGCCATATACACCTATCATTTATGTAAGCACTCTAATAGAGAAAATTTGGTATTTTGATTGTATCTATCATACAATGTAATTTTTAATAATAAGAAAATAATATAACTTTTGTTTTATGTGTGCTTCTAGGATCTAGCAATATAGTACGAGAATCGTCAGTGGACATCAAATTCAGCATTATCACGAATGTCACACTGATAATACAAGTTGTTCTGCAAAAATCTGTTGGTGTTGAGTGAGAATGAAATTGAATTTATCCTGACACAACACAAGAAAATGATACAAGAATGGTACATGCATTAAAAATGTTGAGAGACACGTCTATGATGATTTGTTTCACAATCCGATTGAAAATGGCTGACCGGCAACCATCAAAGTCTGAAAACTTGTGGATTGGCTGCCATACATATGGCATGCATTTAGCCATATCTAATTCGTTTGGGCTTATCCAGCTTATACTTCACACATACCCAGTACATCATATCGGATATATGCACATGTATTGGTTTCATAATTTGATTCAAGTTTGCCGAATGGTGCGCATTTTAATGTCAAAATGCATAAAATTCCCTCATTTTCACAATTCTAGAACTGGGTCTCAATCGTGCATGGACATATTTTGTTCAAATTTAGTAGTATTGAACATAATAGGAACTTGATTGGGCCTAAAATTGCTGACTGGTGAAATGCAGTTCCTGATCCATATATTCAACATGCTTGGACCGATCAAGTTCAAACTTCACACAGACATCTTATTGGATAAACACTCATGCATTTTTTACCATCAAATTCAAAATGACTTACTGGTCATCTTTTTTAAACAAATACAGTTGCACAAAGCCATATCTCATACATGCCTGGACCAATCATGTTTAAATTTCGCGCATACATCACACATTTGGTCATTCATATATCTTTTGTCTATAATATTATGTCGTTGATAATGACTTGATAATTCTCATTGCCTGAAAGTCTTGTGAATTGTGAATAGAACCAAAACTTGATCCAAGTGTTTAAAATATGATAGTCATAGCAGTGCATGTACGTATTTTTCACGTAACCAATGAATGTATTCATGTGGATAGTGTACATCATCACTGGTGTTCGTAGTGCTCAACTAAATTTTACCAATTACCTGTGCAAATTTTGTACAGGAAGCGCCATCTTGATGGAATGTAAGAACCAATCAGAAATAGTCTAACTAAAACAGGCTGTGTCCTTCTATGTCTGTAACATGAGTTCTCATTGGTTTCTGATTCTACAAGATCTTTTATCAAGAAAATTGTCAGATATACTTTAGTACGCAGGTGGTCGTATACATGTATAAGCGATTAAATCCACATTCTGATTTTAAGATTAGGTTGTTTAAAAGTGCGTCTCCTGCCTTTGTATATGGATTCTGAGAAGCAACATTTGAATGGAATACAACTCGTATGTTCACTATTTATATAATATAGGTGTGCATCATTGGTATCTGTCTTTGTGTTCTCCTTAACATAGTGTATCATTACAAAGGCTGATGAAAATTATTACACTTGTGCCTGGACAATAGAGGAAAATACTGGTGCTCCATTGTTGGCTGTAGCAGGGTCAAGAGGCATTATCAGACTAATCAGTCCTATTAGCTTACAGTGTGTGAAGGTAGGTTGTTATGGTTTGGTTAGTATTGGTAGGTCAAGAGGCATTATCAGACTAATCAGTCCTATTAGCTTACAGTGTGTGAAGGTAGGTTGTTATGGTTTGGTTAGTATTGGTAGGTCAAGAGGCATTATCAGACTAATCAGTCCTATTAGCTTACAGTGTGTGAAGGTAGGTTGTTATGGTTTGGTTAGTATTGGTAGGTCAAGAAGCATTATCAGTCTTGTCAGTCCTATTAGTTTGCAGTGTGTGAAGGTAGGTTGTTACGGATTGGTTAGTATTGGTAGGTCAAGAAGCATTATCAGACTTATCAGACCTATTAGCTTATAGTGTGTGAAGGTAGGTTGTTATGGATTGTTTGATATCAGTCCTACATGTATTAGATTATAGTGTGTGAAGGCAAGTCAAGAGGCATTCTGAGCGCATTGCAGATTCATCAATCCTATTAGCTTTGTGAAGGTAGGTCTTTATTGGTGTTTCAAGAGGTGTTATTAGACTTATCAGTCATATTAGCTCACAGTGTATGAAGGTAAAGACAAAGCATTGATTGCAGCATGTAATTAATTATGCAAGTTTCTGATAATTAGTTTTATATTCAGTGTTATTTCTAACGTGCATATAACTATTAATTTTATTTTTGTAACTTTTAAAATATTTCATTGGCATCATCAATTAAGGATATATGCTTCAGAGGAATCACCATGGATACTTAAAATGACAGAAAAATAATACATTGAAAAAGAACAGTTGTTTTATTCCATAACCCTTATGTGGTTGAGTCAGTGTACAAGTACACGAGACTAGCAAGATTAGGGTTAATATGCAAGACATGTATTTATGTTCTCATCAATGAGTTCCACACATTGCTGAATGCTTTATTATCCCATCACACATTGATCAGTTAATAAAATATTACTGCGTTTTGTTTGATAGCACTATGTTGGACATGGCAATGCAATAAACGAATTGAAGTTTCACCCACATGATCAGAATCTTCTTCTGTCAGTCAGTAAAGGCGAGTATTATCTTGTGGAGTGACACCACAGTATAGTTCCTACAGTTATCAGGTTTCATGCATGCATGCATGCATTTATTGCATGCATAATTATTGCATGAAATGTGGATGTGTCTTGCATGCATAATTAATGAGAAGTAGATGTGTATTGTATGCATAATTAATGAGATGTGGATGTGTCTTGCGTGCATAATTAATGACATGTGGATGTGACTTGCATAATCATTTAGATGTGGGCATGTCTTGCATGCATAATTAATGCGTTGTGGGTGTGACTTGCATGCATAATTAATGAGTTGTGGGTGTGTTTTGCATACATAATTAATGAGACGTGGATGTGTATTGTATACATAATTAATGAGATGTGTCTAACATCTATAATTAATGAGTGGGCGTGTCTTGTGTGTATGATTTATCATACGAGTTTGTCTTACTTGCATAGTCAATGAGATGTGACTTGCATGCATAATTAATGTAATGTGGGTGTGACTTGCATGCATAATTAATGAGTTGTGGGTGTGTCTTGCGTGCATAATTAATGACATGTGGGTGTGACTTGCATGCATAATTAATGAGTTGTGGGTGTGTCTTGTTTGCATAATTAATGACATGTGGGTGTGATTTGCATAATTAATGTAATGTGGGTGTGACTTGCATGCATAATTAATGAGTTGTGGGTGTGTCTTGCTTGCATAATTAATGACATGTGGGTGTGATTT